GAAAAGAAAAGAAAAGAAAAGAAAAGAAAAGAAAAGAAAAGAAAAGAAAAGAAAAGAAAAGAAAAGAAAAGAAAAGAAAAGAAAAGAAAAGAAAAGAAAAGAGTATTTATAACGTCTAAACTAAGAACTGTTAAAACTTTTGCATCAGAGGAAAAAAGTAAGATAAAAGACGAAGAGGCAGAACATGCGTTCGCATTTATTCCTCAACAGTTTGCAGCCTCTTGCATACAAAAGAGCAATTTGAGACCAAAAAAATACAGATATTCCCCCCCCCCCTTGTGCCAGGGGCCGACGCCTCTAATGATTCCTGCACTCTAGCCTGTTCCCCTTGCCGAGAACACCTCGGTGCTGCCGGCCCTTAAATGCCCTTTTCCTCCCCAACCGAGGTATTTCGCCGCTTTCCCAGTGTGATTTTCCAGTCCTAAATCCGTGAGACCCGGTTTGGCTCCCGGATTTTCTGCCTAACACTGCTCTCTGCTTGCTTTCAACTTAGATTAGGCCATCATAAGTGAGTAGCAGACACCCACCGCCACGGTCGTATTGATTTTTACTCTCCTGTGATATTAAGACTAATTCGGTCCTGGTTCAACAAGTAAAAAGGCTCCCCAGAAGGAGAATGAAGTGTCCTACAGCACTGACTTTATGGTTTATGTGCCTCCCTCCCCACCTCCCCGTGTTCCCCCTTTCCTCCGAAGAGAAATAGATTTGTCGAAAGATAATTATTTTAACTCTGACGGACTCGAGCACATAAAGCTTGATACCGCCAGTGGTGCCCTGTGTTATTCTGGCATTTCCCAAACGATTTTAAATCCCTCCGGTTATTTATATCTCGCTTTTCAGCCGGCGCTATTTTTTTTTAAAGCTTTATTATATTTACCTGCTGATTCCAAAGCGGAGGCAAGCCTAATTGATTTTTAAAAGATCGGCAGCAGAATTCTAATCCGCTTGGGAACCTGTTTCCACCTGCCAGCCGAGGGTGTGATTATCGGTAATTATGTTATTTAAGAGTTGATAAAATAGCGGGGCGCGGCGCCGCCCGGGCCCCTTCCCCAGCCGGGGCGCGGAGGGGACCCAGGCGGGGAGAGCGGCGCGGCGGGGCCGCCGCCATCACGTGTGCCGCGGCAAACACAATTACGGGGCCGCTGTTAATAATTCATGGGCTGAGATTTAGAAAATTAATAAAATGAATTATAACAAGAGGCTAATTAAAAACTTTAGTAATTGTTGTCAAGACAGCTTGATGGGAGGCGTGCTGCACGACACCCCCGCCATCCCACAACCCCCCCCCCCCCCCCCCCCCCCCCCCCCCCCCCCCCCCCCCCC